CAGGAATGCTGATGTGTACCTACAGTTTCACAATGGATTAGAGCATATCTAGAAATTGTCATTAGATAGTTATCAAAGTTATGGTCTATCAAATGCACTAACAATATAATGGTTGATGTATATTAAAGACGTAGTCAGTGTTTATAGAAATTAGACTCACTTGAATGGAGTGTTGGTAGGCTCAAGTAAAGTTTTATGGCGAAGCAATGCAGGACCAGCAGCTAGGGCATCTTCAGAACCATGAACTGAAATATAATGTTGAGGTGGACCCCCATATAGCTCAAGGCGTCGGAGAAGAACTTGTTCCCAACGCTGCAGTGTTTTCAAAACTGCATGGCACACTGGGGAGCTAACTGGAAGCTCTAGGAAAAAAAAGTAAACAATAAAAAGCCTTCCTTTTCCATTATAACTTTGACGAAGACAATTCCACAGCCAAAGGCTGAAGTGTATTTCACTTATCTCAAAAAGTAACCTTTATTCAAATTTCATCTTGATATTTGCAAGTATCAAAAGATGAACTGCTTTGTGCTATCATTGCTAAATACAGGAGCAGACTTCTCAATGCTGACAGATACCAAATATCATGAAACAGACCCTCTTGGAAGCTATGTCAAGGCATACGGATAACAAGCAGATGATGAGAGAAAGCCAGCATATCTTCACAAAGGTCAAATGGTGCCTAATCTGGTGGCATTCTACAATGGACTCTCTGTGCTGGTGGGCAAGGGAAGAGCAACTGATGTCCTCTACTTTTGGCTTCTGGAAGGCCTTTGACACAGTCCCACACAAACTTACTTCTAAATCGGAGCTATATGGATTTGATGGACAGACTCTTTGATGGATAAGGAACTGGCTGAATGACTGCATCCAACAAGTTGCAGTCAATGAATCCATGGAGATCAGGAAAAAATGGTGACCCTCAGGGGTACATACTGGGACTGGTACTGTTCATTATCTTTGATAATGGCATAGACATCAGTAGTGAGCACACCCTCAGCAAGTTTGCAAATATCTCCAAAATGAATGGTGCAGCTGATTTGCTAGAGGGAAGGAACACCATCCAGAGGAACGTCGACAGGCTTGAGGTGTGGGCCCCTGTAAACACCATGAAGTTCAACAATAAAAAGTGCAAGGTCCTGCATCTAAGTCAAGGCAATCACCAGTATTGGTATACAATGAGTAACTTGACAAACGGAATGAAAGCAGCTATGGAGAGAAAGACTTGGGGATAGCAGTGAATGAAAAATTGGACAAGAGTTGGCAATGTGTGCTTACAGCCTAGAAAGACAATCACATCCTGGGCTGCAGGAAAAAAGGGTGACCTGCAGGGTAATTTACTCCCTCTAATTTATTCTCATGACATCCCACCTGGAGTACTGCATCCAGCTCTGAGGCCTCCAGTACAAGAAAGATATGGTTGCATGTTCAGAGAGCCACAAAAATAGTCAAGAGCAATGAAACACCTCTCCTGTGAAGAAAGGCTTGTGAGAGTTGGGGTTGTTCAGCCTGGAGAAGAGAAACTCTGGGAAGGCCTTATTGTAGTCTGTCAATACTTTAAGGGGACTTACAAGAAAGATGGAAAAAGACTTTGTACCAAGGCCTGTAGTGACAGCACATGGAGTAATGGTTTTAAACTGAAAGAGTCAATTCATATTAGATATAAAGAAGAAATTTTTTACTATGAGGATGATGAGACACTGGAACAGGTTGCCAGAGAAGCTGTAGATGCCCCATCCCTGGAAGTGTTCAAGGTCACATCGCATGGAGCTTTGAGGAACATAATCTAGTGAAAGATGTCCACGCCCATGGCAGGAGGGTTGGACCCAGATCATCATTAAATGTCCCCTCCAGCACAAACCATTCAATAACACTACAACTCTATGAAACAAGGAGTAGGAATGATGTAACTTGAATTACAAATAACTACTGAGTTTCTCCAAAGACATTAACATTGTAAACCTTCTTGTATGACTAAGAGGCAAAGAAAAACTAAGTATGCAGAGACTTCTGCTAACTACTAAGCATTCCTTCTCACTCATTCATCTTACCCACCCACTATGTTATTTCATAAATACACTTGTAGGATAAACAATCTCAGAACAATTATTCCCAGATCATGGAAAAACTAAGAACTTTTGACATAAAGATAAAGCTCTGACACATATATTATTCAACACATAACTGATTTTAAATGTGGTTATTAAATATGAAAAGAAAACTCCACTGCTTATTACCTGAAAGATCATGTCCAGTCAAAGGGTAGAAAATCTTCAAATTGTGAAGTACCAGCTGAACCATTGCCAATCTCATCAGTGACCAACTAACAAGAAAGCAGTAGTAAGACATTTACTAATAGGAAAAGACTTTTTCTCACTTATTCACCATTAGGATTTAAATGTAGAGCTTTAAATCCTCATTACAAAGTGCTGAAAGCTACAAACAGTATTTTAGAATATTACACTGTGAATTCAAAAGTCACTATACCATCTTTGAACAAAGTGAGTAAAACAATCATTGTGAAAAATTAAATACTAACTCTAGATAATGCACTGCCATGAAATACCAAGTAACAGATATATTATCTCAGAAGTAAAAGGTCAGAAATGCAAGTCTAGCCATTGCAGAACATCTTGCATTCTAAAGAGTTACTTACCTGTATGAATTTGAATTAGAATGCTCTTGATTATGTGAATTTGATGAAAATACATCTCCATCAATATCTTCTTCATCTTCATCACTTTCCTGACTCTCTTCTGAATCATATTCCACTCTACTTTGCGATGGAAGAAAAGGCTAAAAATTTAAACAATATTCCTTGATTACCTTTTCTAGCCAACATCTAGTTTTAAATTATCTTTTAAAAAATACATCACTACAATATTTAATATTTTGGGTTTTTTATTAGAAAAAAGCAGCCATATCATCTTACTTAATTTAGTAACAGTTGGAGTTTGCACCTCATGAAAAGGGTGACTGTCCATGAGCACTGCATACTTAAACAGCTTAACTGTTTTATACATTACTCAAAATTCCAATGTTGAAAATGAAAATATTACCAGTTTGCCAATTCTTATTTTGCTTTATTTTCACATCAGATATATGAAAACACACATAGGACACACATAGGACACACAGGCTTGTTATTTGTCAGAGAGAAGCCAAAACCACAGGTGTATTTCCTCCCTAGTTCTTCCAAAGACTAAAGAACAAGAAAACCCTATCATCTGCCCCCAAAGTTCGATATTTATGATCAGCGTACCATCAGTGCCACGATGTGTTATTCAGTATTTGCAATTTCTTCTTTATCCTTGATCCTAAAATACTGCTTACATATTTATTTTGCTGATATGGGTAGTATTTGATACAGAAATGTGTCATACAACTCCATATAATCATGTAACTTTCTGCAGAGAAAGATCTGCCAGCTGACTTTACAGAAGGCAATAAAATTTGCTTTCTAGTAAGTATTCATGCTCATTTTACCCATTTGAAATAGATAATAAAAAGCTTCTCACATTTCCTTGTTCATCTAAACAGCCGATTCATAATTACCTGTACATTAGTACTCCACAACTGTAAAAAGCAACATGTTTTGTTCTTACCATTACCCGAAAAGAACTTAATTTCGTAACGACAGCTTTTAAGAAAGCTGTCTTAAAATTACCTATAGGCAGTGTTTCAGAAAAAGCTAAATATGAGTAATAAAAACAAGCATCTTCTATCACACATCTAAATTAATACCTAGAATAAAGACTAAGAAGAAAATTACCATTCCAGAAGTGATAGAAAATATTTAACTATCATAATAGCAAAAAGTTACCTTTGCAATGAAATAATCCCAGATGCTAAGCTCAGGAGGAATAAATCTTTCTTTGTAAGATGGAGATTCTTGGTCTACCAATGGCAATACAGGCAACTGAATACTCTCTTTCAGAGAGGTTTTTGATGTAAGCCTGTAACGTTTTTGCTGTTTCTCTCCATTATCTACAGAGGAAGAAAATATAGTACGTTGTTTTAAAGCACCTGCTCCACCTCCTTACTGCTTTTAATAAAGGGATTTTAATAGAGTCTTCCTCATTACAAGTTTTTAGAATTTTATCTTAACACTTTTGTAGCAAATAAGCACAGAGAATGTTAATCCTCAAATATGCAAAACTAATACATAACTAGAACTCCCAAAGGGGAAAACTCACAGCATACATATAACAGAATAGTGGAGTACACCAGTAACTGCATTAGCAGCCCTCTTCCTACAATAAAGATAACAAATTTTGTTGTCCAAGCAACAATACTGCAAAACTAAATTATTTCAATAAGCACTACTGAATACTGATTATGCTTGTTCTTTAAGACAAGCCAGGAGTGTTTGTCTTTCAAATATGTAGTACAAATATCTAAGTTTGCTATTCTTACTCCAAGTTTTAACTCTGTGTCTCCTTACACAGGAGGTCTGTACTTATTTCCAAATGGTACAATTCTGATAAATCCATATGTCCTGACCAAAAAAAATATATTTCTCCAGCAAATATAAAATATTGCATTGTAAATAATAACAATATATACCTTATCCAACATGGAAGGACTATTTATTTGTGATAAGACTCCAACCCCTAGTTGTTGACTGGTCCCCTCTCTTTCCCCAGCATTGACTTTTTTTCAGAATAAAGAGTGTTTATGACAGATTTATTTGAATTACATTCTTGATGGTTACAGTACACAAAGAAACAGTTTAACCAAGCTATCAAAAATACCTTAAAGCAGTTATATCACAAATGAATGAACAAGCAAACCTCATTTCTTGTTAACTGAGAAGCCTCAACTTCACAAATATGTGAAAACTAATGGCTTACTTGAAAAGAGGCTCACATAACCATCTGATAACCTGAAATCATTCCAGTTCTTGGCAGAAGATTGTATTCCAACAGAGCCTGTTAGCAGAGGATGAATGATCTTGATGGTCACTGTCCCTAAGCAGTTAGTTAGTGTTCTGGCTCTCCAGAACACTTTTGAAGTGAAAGGAATAAGAGAGAAAGGAAATAATATCTGGAGATTTGATACAATATGGTGATTTCATTCATTTTCCATTACATGCAAAATGTATTTGAATCAATTTCCTCCTTGATTGTAAAATATGGTTTGAATTTCAAGGAGATGCATGTAATTCATGGAGATTTATTTTCTATAGTGAAACAACTGAATAGGTTCAAGGCTTGGGTAAAACAAAGAAAGCTAAAACATTACTAATACACTGACTTCACCAGGGGACAAGAGAAGAACAATGGATGTCATCTGTCTGGACTTCTGTAAGGCCTTTGACATGGTCCCCTAAAACATCCTTCTCTCTGTATAGGGGAGATAAGGATTTCATGGGTGGACTGTTCACTGGATAAGGAATTGGTTGGATGGTCGCATCCAGAGGGTAGTGGTCAGCAGCTCAATGTCCAGATGGGCCCCATACTGGGACGAGTAGTGTTTAATATCTTCATCAATGACATAGACATCGAGACTGAGTGCACCATCAGCAAGTTTGCAGATGACACCAAGCTGAGTGGTGCAGTTGACACACCAGAGGGATAGGACACCATCCAGAGGGACCTGGACAAGAGGGCTTGTGTGAACCTCATGAGGTTCAACAAGGTTAAGTGCAAGGTCTTAGACCTTGAGTTGGGGCAATCCTCGTTATCAGTACAGGCTGGGGGATGATCTGATTGAGAGCAGCCCAGCAGAGAAGGTCTTGGGGTACTGGTGAATGAAAAGCTGGACATGAGTCAACAATGTGTGCTCACAGCCCAGAAGTCTAATTGCATCTTGGGTTGCATCAAAAACAGTGTGGTCAGCAGATCGAGGTAGGTGATTCTGCCCATCTACTCTGCTCTGGTGAGACCTCACCTGGAGTACTGTGTCCTGCTCTAGAACTCTCAGTACAAGATGGTCATGGAACTGTTGGAGTAGTGGGTCCACAAGAGTGTCACAAAAACAATCCAAGGGCTAAAGAACTTCTGTGAGGACAGGCTGAGGGAGTTGGGGTCGTTCAGCCTGGAGAAGAGAGGGCTGCAGGAAGACTTTATTGTGGCCTTTCAGCACTTAAAGGGGGCTTATAAGAAAGAGGGGGACAGTCTTTTTAGCAAGGCCTGTTGTGACAGGACAAGGAATAATGGTTTTAAGCTAAGGAAGAGTAGATTTAGACTGGATATAAGGAATTTTTTTTTTCCAATGAGGGTGGTGAAACACTGGAACAGGTTGTCCAGACAGGTGAGGCTGGACAGGGCTCTGGGCAACCTCATCTAGTAGAGGATGGAGGAGGACTAGATGACCTCTTAAGGTCCCTTCCAACCCAAAGCATTCTGTGATTAAGACAAAAGGGAGTGGATTTTTTTAACTGCCTTTTGAAGTTCCCAAAACTTTCAAGACCTATTTAACCTAGCACTGAACATTTTCCTGTTTCTTAACCATTTCAAAATCAGCTTTTTCCAGTTAAGGTTTAAGAAGTATGACATCACCCAAACAGAACAAACTTAAGCCCATTCCTTTCTGTGTCCAAAAAAAAAAGCAGTTGGGGAAAAATGCTATAGAAAAACTCTAGAGCTGACCTGGAGACGAGATATCCCTATAATTGGGCATGTCAAGCATCAACATGGTGGGCTAGACTAGTTACAAGGATGAACTAATATGAACAGCACAAATGCAAATGGATGCTTTAGCTCAACCTTCTGAAATTACTTGCTCCTGTTAAAAATCCTGAGGACAGCACAAAAAGAGCCAGCATCCCTGTATATGACTGGAATGAACTACTACAAAGAAGTACTTCCCACACTCTTATTATTTTGTTTAAATGTTTTAACCACAGGAGACTTCTGAGTCTTGATAGATGCTTAAAAACTCTGATTGGTACTCCCCTATCACTTGAAAACAGAAGGTCTAACACTATGAACAAAATTTAAAAAGTGTTCATTTAGGAACAGTTATATTCCACATATAAGATTTGCATGCTCACAACACACACTGAGTCAACTGTAAGTCATGAGATTGGTATGACTGATTTAAAAAAAAAAAAGTTGGATTTTCTTTTCCTCCTCTCCAAAACATATTAATAATCACAGAATCACAGAACATTAGGGATTGGAAGGGACCTCAAAAGATCATCTAGTCCAATCCCCCTGCCGGAGCAGGAACACCTAGATGAGGTTAATGGCTGATGGAATTTTTTCATAATTTCTAGTAATTTTTGGGCCAGGAAAAAACCCATGTTTTCCCAAGGATTTTAAAAAATAGTTTTGACCACATATTAAGACAACCTTTACCACTATACAAGCAGCTGGATTATAAAATAATTTAAATATAGAATCTAATAAAAGCTGATGACATCTCAACTTTCACCTTGAAGGTGGGGTATTTTAACAGTCTGTGTTGCACTACTATACTGTACCATATTTTTATTCTCCTGTTAGGGATATTATTTGAAATCCACTTACCTGTACTAAACGATACAAATAGAACAGCTGCAGTACAATCAATTTTCATTTCATTATTTAAAGCTCATCAGCTAAGAAAGAGCATGCACATGCATCACTGTATGAATTTTTAACAATTGCTTAAAAAAATAAAGAAACTCACTAGGCATGAAATGAGGAGAAAGTGCTGCATGACACAAAAGTAAGCAAGCAGATGCTTGCAGGTTGTTCTAAGCAGAATTTAAAAAAGCAAATGGTTTACTTTAAAGCAGTATTTTTTTTTCCATTCTGTTCGATCACTCTTTGTATTTTTAAGAAAACTGCAGGCTAATCATTGGAAAAAAAAGATCAATATTTAAGGCAAATGAAAATACAACCATTTAAGTGGTTTGAAACACATAATACTAATGTCTTTTTTTGCATTCTAAAAATGTTTTTTTTAAACAAATTCATTTAAAATCTACTTTGTCATTTGGGATTTCAGATCACCAATTATATTAACTTTCAAATTTCTCATATTTCTACTTAAAACCCTTTCACATGTATTTGTATTCAAAACATTTCTCTCTGGTCCCATTCTACCTACAAGATGAAGGTAAAATTTATGTTATTTTCCAAGAATACTGTAGTATTTCAGACAATGAAAATGCTGCTATTTCTGCCAAGACCAAACACATGCAATGAAACTTAAAAGGCCTGTTGCCCATGTCAACTCTGTTCCACCTTCCCAGTCAAAGCTAAAAGGCAGATATCTTTCAATTTCCAAAAAAACCCTAAAATGCAAGTCAGAGTTACTGTGCTTTATGCAAGACTGTGTGCATGTACGAAGCATCAACACCCTAACGCCCTATGAAAAGATGCAATTCTTCATTAAAAGAAGTAAAATTATGAAGTCCTCCTCTTACAAAGAATCATCCTTGAATGCAGGCATCAACAAATATCAGCACTGCTGAAGCCCAGAACAGAGTGGAATGAGAGACATGACAAAGAAATACTGGTTCTGAATCACAGCTCAAATAATTTTAGTAAGTATAAAGCCCTGCACAGAGTTCTGTAATTCTTTAGAAAGCTATGACCGTCAACTAGAACAGCAGCCTGGTGAAAGTTTACACCACTGGACAGTTCAACTTCAAACCTAAAAGTAATTTATTTTGCAAGGTTACAAATCCTGGGATTTTCAACACGATATTCTCTTTACTCATAGACAATAGCTTATGTGGTCAAGGTGATGAACTTAATGAATTAGCACTCAACAGCAGCAGTTGCAATTAAGTTCCATAACCTGTAGTTTTACTACTATACGTACACAAGACTTAAATTCTTTTGTATTTATGCACCACTTAATGAGTAGTGATTCACTGAAAAGGTTTAAACTTTCAGATGTTTCTGAAGGCATTACATACATTCTGGGAGTTTCAATAAATGGTGAATGGAAACCTCTCAAAAATTAGATAAGCACAATGAAATACTTAGTGGCACACACAAACTTTGCTGACATTTCCTGTTCTAACCCACCTTGGCTCATCTCGACTG